CGCAGCTAGTATTATATAAGATAAGGATGAGAGTACGTGAGTAATAATTTGGTTGTACTCCATCGTATTCGTACTCCATTTTATAAACGGGCGAGCACATTATATCACCTTTTTTCAAGCAGGTTAGCATCAATTTTATCCTTTTTTGTCACTTACGCAGTCTGATTACCGTTATGCCTATCAAACGCGGCTTCATCCACGGTGTTATGTATACGACACAGGCTTTCAAAGGAAAAACTTTACAAAATCGATAAAAATTGAACAAATTTAAACATCTTAAAAACCATAAAAACAACCAACATAAAGTTTACTAAGAAATAACATTGTATGGCCCTTCTACTCAGCTGTCAATTCAACTTAATCTCATCAATGAATCCATCTATTACCTCAAAAAGCTCCGCTTCACAATCATACATTATCTCGTTAAGACATTTAACCACCAACTTTCTGCATGTCAACAATTTTAGCTCATCTAAAATGAAGAGGTGGTTACGATCTATCCTACGAGCAAAGTTACCGATGAGCGCCGATCTGTTGCTGAAGAACTTATAGAACAACAGTAACATTTTACTCTCGATTTCAAAATTCAAATCAAGCAAAATGTCTTCATACATGGCAATGAACCACGGTGCTTTAAAGTGTTTTATGATGATTGGAACCGAGTCGCTGGGAAGCACCAGTTTATGTTTCGTTGCCTTTATAAGCACGTTTAAATAGAGATGTGGCTTGCTCATGAAGTATTTCATGTACTTAATAACGATCTCTTTTACAAAAAACCGTTCAAGCCACTCCACAAGCATATCATCCTTTATCAAACCATCGATATGCGATTGAAAAAGAATGTGCTCGCTGGGAAAAGCATATAACCAAGTCATCAGCAACGTTTGTGTTTTTTTCCTCTTGTACTCGAGATAATCCGGCGATATTTTTTGCATTTTCGGCAATTCATAGTTTTCTTTACTGTCTTGAACATGAAAATGTGAGTCGTGGCCAGACTCCGTACTAGATTTGACGTTCTTATCAACTACGCCCTTATTATCAAAATCTTCTCCAATATTTGATTCATTTTCCCGCTTCTCCTCCTCTGATACATCCTCATGGTTACCGCGCAAATCGCCAGCCTTTTTAATGGTGCAATACCGTTCTAAATCCCTAACAAGTTCGTCAAAAAAGTCTTTTGCTCTCAAATCTCCGCTTGCAATTAACATTCTCTTGACAGAATTGGCTTTGGTTGTCAAATATCTCTTTAAAAGCTTGTCGTAACTCACAAAACATCCTGTGTTGAGCACATATGGTTCATATTGGGCAAATACATCCAAAAATGGAATGTGCTTTATCTTGATCAATCGCATGAGATATAACAGCTTGTTGTAAAATTCTACGTTGTTTTTATCACGCATTTTCTCCAAACTAAGCCATGCTACAATTTTATCCTCGTCGTAACGAACGATACCGTGCAAATGTTCCAATCCATCTTTAGAGTTGTTCACATTTGTGCGCTTGTTCAAAAAACACTCAGAAACTGCGATTTTTCTGTTTAGTGACATTTCAACCAGCCGTATGAAAGTGTCTATCACGTTCTTGTTGTCCAAATAAACATAGAAATATTTGTAACTGACACTTATCCATCTCTCTATTCGCCATTTCATAAAAAAATGGCAAAAACTCATCAATTCTTCTCTATTTCTCAAGTTAATCTCGTTCTGGTTGGAAAGAAAGAACACGTAGAAGTTGTGCTCATTCTTTTTTCTAAGAAAATGAAATATTTGCATATTAAACACAACATCATTGCTTACGCACTCCAAGCACAGCTCTCTCAACCTTTTGTAATGGAATATACTCAGCAAATTTATCACTATCATGTCAACTTTACATTTTTTGGTTATAAAATTTACAATCGCAATCCGTTCTTTGAGAGTGAGCAGAAGTGATGGTTTGTTATGGTTACAGTTCAAGCATATAAGGTCATCAAGACTGCCTACCGAGCTATCACATTCATCAGTACCTTTAACCCCTCTTTTTCTTCCATTCACTTTCATTCCATCGTTTAAGCCATGTCCCAAACTATTATACACCCCGTCATCCCTTTCGCATTCATAATTGCTTGCTTTGCTATGAAATTCCCATAATCGTTTCCACTCCTTCTTCTTAACCGTTTTGTAATAAAAATTTCTGAACACTTTCCTTAAACCGCCATGCCGCCTCATGATCACCATCTCATCATCACTCAGACAATACCTGAAAATTGCAATGTCGCATTTATCAAAGTATAGCAAATATTTGAGATAAAATGTCCGTGCAATCTTCAATTTCAGATTCTTTTTGCATTCTCTGATGACTCTTTTATCAACGAGCACTTCCCTGTCACGTTGAGTCGCCACCACGATGTACGTAGGAATACTAAGATTGTGGTGCTTGATGGCCATAAAAGAATCAAAATTGTTAATCAGCAGGTCGATAATTTCATTGTAACGCAAAACATTCGTTTCATTGTTATGTACCGCGTGCGGGTGTGGCTCTTCCTCTCCACTCGCTAATTTCTTATCCTGTAATTTCTTCTTACCGCTAACTGTGCTGTTTATCTCTCGTGCACGGGCGTTATCACCAAATCTATTGTTAATTCTCTCCACCAACAGCTCACATGCCATTACCACAACACTTCTGCTCACATCTACATCCTTCTTCATAATCTCAACCAACACATAGTCTAGACTCTCCAGTGCATGCTCTTTTACCATGTTTATGATGTGTAACAGTTTCATCTCTTCCTCTTTTTTCATGTTTTTTACCTCTCTTCTCAGTTTAAGCAGTTCTTCATCTATCAAATCGTATCTCGCAGCGCTTTGGTTTTGTTTCCTGTTCAAAATCATGAAAATACTGTTGAGGATCTTAACCACAGGAGAAAGTGGCGCAGCAACGGTCCTATTCTTATTGCACGGACTAGAAATAGCACGCACAAACACGTTATCGCCACGAAATGATTCTAAAACAGGATCGATTGAAACATTACTTTTGGTATTGATAACCTTATCAATGTTTACTTGCCCATCTTTGTACGTATACTTGCCATGGACCATCTGTTTATCCTTCTGCACATCGTCAACTGATTTACTTCTCGTTCTATAACCGTTCCTGTAATCCTTGGTAATACAGTTCTGCAGCTCTATCATCTCTTTCTTATCCTCTTCCAGTTCTATCGGACATTTTCTTACCATGTACTTCAAATATTTCATGGCCTCTTCGTCCACTTTCATTTTCTTGGTTTTCTTACCGAAGATTAAATCATCGATTTCCTTCTCCAACATTGAAAGGGCTCCGCCTGCTAAAACTTAACTTAAGAAAAAAGAATCAGAAGATCGATCCGATATCACCAAAAGCATTCAACTAATTCGCAGTCAAGTGCTATATCATCAGCAATTCCATTTATTATACGAATTGCACCATTGAAATGGTTATTTTTTGTTCCGGTTTCATCTCACCGATATAAGGCAGTCATTTAATGACACTCCTAAAATTTTATAAAACCAACAAAAATGACATAAGCGATGAGATAAATCAGAAAAAGCACAAATTTGTTCTAATTTAGATAAAATAACCGAAGGGTGAATGAACCGACTTGCTTTGTAGAATTTCTACAGCAATCCCTGTATTCAATCGTGGGGTACTTACATTTCAATTTTGAGAAAGAACTTTGGAACGCAATGAAAATGAAGTGCGTTCTATTCAGCAACCCATGAGAACCCTTCAATTCAACGAGAAAATGCTGAGCACTGAGAAGCTGTTCGATCACAGTTGAGCCTCACCAAACACCTGATTCATAATTTAAAATTGTACACGATTGTATTGCCATCAAAACCGGATAAAAAGGGCAATTAACAGCATTTTCAAGAATGAAAGAGTAGAACTGCCCTACGTGCCAATCGCTTGTGTGCCGCACCCACCAACGTAGTATATTATCACTAAACAGTGATCTCTTTATGTCAACATTAATGCACCATTTTCTACGGTAGTGATTCTTTGACATGGCTGTTCCTTACCTAGCCAAATGCAATTAACCGCTAATCAGATGAAAGCACTACGTCATATGTGCATTTCCTTCCCACGGCCACTCAAACAGACCGATTCAAATTGCTGTTTGGATGACATGACGTACGGTGAAACAGAGGTAGTGGAGCAATTTGGTTCCATTTCACCAGTTCAAACCGCGTTTTGGAACGGAGAATGCTTTATGAATTATTTCCAACAACAATTCACGTCTGGCAACGGTTTACTTATTGCTCGCGTGCTAGTACGGATACCAATGATTGATTACAATTGTTGTGCTGGGCACTCTCGTACACTCATGAACCGAATCTACCAAACATACAAGCATCCTCTGCACGTTTGTTCATATCCCCTTTATTGCAATCACCAGCCCTTGAAAAAATAAAAGGAATGTTGGATTTCTTCAAGCCTCAGCACCACATTCTCATTCAGAGGATTTACCGTCCAAACGGCCACATGGACGACCAAAAGCTCTCATATTTCATCTACCACCTGCAACTTAAACCGGAGAAGATAGCAAGCAGCATTGAATACATAACGAAACGTGGTATACGGGAGATACGGCAATATAGAAAGATTGATGTGACATGCGCCATACTCACAGAACTTGTTAAGCATTTTTATAACAGATCAGTTCAACACGAGACGGTGCTGCTCAAGAATATGGCAGATTTGTTGGAGGAGTTGGTACGGAACGATATCTATGTGGCGTGTTTTCGGGAGTATGTGCTGTTGTGCTGCACACACGTGAGTATAAGGACGTACAAGGGGGATGAGGGTGTTAACAGGATGTTGGAAATTGTATGTGGCAACCTGTTGGTGCCAAAGACGTACGGCATTACAGGCGTAGATGGTAGCAACGGCATAGAAAGTGTCAAGCAGAGAAGGGATGTGATCAACAATTCACGGACCATAGCGAACACCGATAGCACCAGCAACGTGGATGACACTGGTGCTTGCAGTTTTCTCAGTGCTTGTCCTGTTGCTGACCACCATACTGCTGGTGCTAGCAGCTCTGCCGGAAATCTTAGTTCCGTTGCTGTCGGCAGCACGGACAGTAACGACGTGACATGTAGCAGTGTTGTGATTGGCACAGCAAAGACCAAAGAGGTTGCAAACAGCCGTACAGCCAGCGTGTTTGAAGCTAAAGAATCTTTCTTTCTGGCGATACTGCACATATTTATCGCACACAACGACCTGTTCAACAAGGACAACTACAGAAAAAGATTCAAAATTGTTTTAAATCCGCTTCTCTACAACTTCACATTCCTCGAGTACCGCTCGGTCCTCAAAGACATGGCAACAGGCCTCAACGCAATCAATATAAGCTCATTCATAAACTTATTCGTGGTCTATTCTCTCAAATACGAGGTAAACTCGATTAAGTTTCTGCTAGAGAACGTGAAACACCATGATGTGATTATAAACGAACTGAACAAGTTGATAAGTGTGGAGCGGAACATTGTTCTCTTCCTGTTCTACATCGAGGTGATAAATTGGATGGAAGGTGTTTACAATGTGCACGAGATGAGCAGATTCGTATTTAACGTGCTCAAGGTGTACTTGGAGCAGGATGTGCGCAGGAAGCCCATCAGAAGGATAAATAGAGATGCGGAAGGTACGGATATGATGAGCATGGCCACAAGATACGATGCGATTTGTGATACCTCGCTTGTTTGTGGGCAGTTGAGTGCCTCATCACGAACCGATGTTGTCGAGGAGTTGTACAAACGACGAAGCGTAAGGAATAACAGGTTCTATCCCTGTATAAAAAGGTATGTGGATGCATTTCTCTCCAAAACACTGCTTAAGGCCGATGTGCTTTACTTTTTTTTGAAGCAGTCCTTTCAGTACGATTTTTCTCTCTCCGAAAAGACCATGACGGTGTACAGCAGAGATTTTCAAGATCTCATACTCTCGTTCGTATTGAACACCGAGGTAGAGGTAAATTTGAAAATGCTTAACCTACTCTTGCACATATCTGAAGAGATACAGCGGTTTAAAGACACGATATTCGACATAATAGGCAAATCTAAGCTGTGCACCTACACGGTGGACATGAGAGGAAGGCACGCAATCATGTGCAGGATTAGAATATTGTACGCCAAAACATTCGATGCCAGACTCAAGCATGTGCTTGAATTGGATGGTGAGGAGCGATTGGTGAATGAAAGGCTGTTTGCTGCAGTAGAGGCGGTAAAAAGCGGCAGCGCGCCAACAAATGGATATAACATGGACAACGACGTGATGGATTACGAGTGCTACTTTGGAAAGAACAGGAGCTACGCCAACAGCCTGAAGAGCAGCCTCAATTTTGAGAACATCAGTTCAAAAAGACGATCTTTCCTCAGAAATATGGATGTGACCAAAGATTGATCCTAAAAATGCTACGATTGCCACTGTAAATTTTAATGAACGGTGCGGAAGGCCCGATTCTAATGCAAACACGATGCAATGTCTTGGTACATCATCGTCCTTGATAGCACAAACCTCACGTATTGTGCGTTTTTGTGATAGCAATGCAGCAGTTTCCTTCTCCATCACATACTTTGAGAAATAAAAATGATTTGGTAAAGAGTACCGCGATTTTACGCGTTCACAGTTCACAGCCTGCTTTTCATCGTGTAAATGCATCCTTTTGTAATTCTGCCTGCTGAAATTGCCATTCCCTGCCAACACTCAATAGCGTATCCTCCCTGAACAGCAGCACCTGTACAGGTAGGTTCATTGAGAGCTTCTCAACGGTAAAATGTAATGAAACGAATCTTCAGAAGAAAGACGGGAAGGTCAACGCGCAGCATTACACCAAACAAAAATATCAACTGCTCTAACACCGCTTGTATAAGTGTTGTTGTCGATAGGCAGTTCATTAGATGTTGACACGGAACGATCATTTCTTCCGAATCAATGGCGGTTAGGATGCACTTTTACGTTAATAGCACGTGACTTGCCCACCATGATCATGTGTCCGGTCTTAACCGAGCATTTTTCGTGCTGAAGATCTTTGAAACGATGATATATGTTAAAACCAATTTTGAAGAAAACGAGAGTTTTCATAGCGAATTAAGGAGGTATACCGATAAACACGGGGAATGATTCGTTGTTGAATGATAACACGAAAAGGAATTGAACAATACGACGATGCAGCACGGAAAGAAACGATCTACTCTAAATTAATCAAAGGTCTGCAGAGTTACGTGCAAATTATTGAAGGTAACAACAAAATGACCAAATTTTTTAATTCAGCTGACCGGCTGCACGGTTAACCCGGTCCATGATTGCCATTCCCTCATTCTTCCTGTCCACCCTTACCATGCAAATACAAGCACATTCTCCATCAAGCATTCTTAGTCCGTGGTACAATCCGTTACTTATCTCCTGTTTTGTTCTTCCCAGGTCTATGTGACGTACATTTCGAGAAATTACAAATTTTTTGATCGCATCCGATGTGACAAGCACACCCAGACCAGATTGTGCACTACCATGCACAAGCAAGCTACTCGTTTTACCGCTATACGCCATGTTTGTGCAGTTCTCACCGTTAAGAATGCCACATTCGTGCCTGTCCACGCTGCTCTCCATCCACGCAACCATCTTGTCATCACAATCAAAAAGATAGAACGGTACGGTCGGTGCATAGTGCCTGTACTTCTTTCCAGGTACCATTTCACACCCACCCGTTGCAACACCTCTCCCGATAACCGTCTCTATCATTTCCTGCGTGATTGCACCCGGTCTCAGCACAGCTCCGTTTCCTCCATCATAACACGTAAATATCGTGCTTTCCAACCCGTGTTTGCAGGGCCCATCATCCACAATCAATTCTATTTTGCCCGCCAAGTCTTTATAGACATGCTGTGCATGGGATGGCGATATACTACCGCTTATATTCGCAGAAGGAGCTGCCAACGGTCCTGTAATCTCGATTATACGTCGAGCACATTCATTGGACGGCATTCTTATGCCCACATATTTGCTACCGCACGTCACCACGTCGTTCACGTGTTCATTCTTAAGAAAAAGGAGAGTGAGCGGACCGGGCCAGTATCGATCAATCAGTGCACGGTATGCGGGCGGTATTTCCACAACAAGTGATTTAAGCATGGACAGACTGCTGACATGCACGATCAAAGGATTATCTGCTGGTCTATTTTTTATGGTGTATACACTCGCTAGAGTAGAAACGTTTGATATTTTGCTTGCAAGACCGTACACAGTCTCAGTGGGTATCGCGATCGGATATTTATCGATATATGCGATGAGCTGGTCGGGTGTAAGATCCTCCAGTCTTTTTATCACCGTGAACATATGACGGGTCAGAAAAATCGGCACAAAAAAAGAAATTCGGTGAAATATGCGAGATGACAAATAAAAATATTTTTGGAAAAATGACTTGATAATGAACAGCACTGATTCAATTTAAGTGAGTTAACACGCTTCTGTGTGCAGGACTCATCACATGTATCAAATAATAAACAGCACAGAGCTTTGAACCGAAGACCCTACGTACGATTGCCTGACCGAGAATGTATCGACAAGGGACAGCATTAGAGGTTGGACTCTCACAGTAAGCCAGCATAGAAGCCTGTCAGCACGGCCATGATGTTGCATATAGCGCAGACTGGTGATACGGAACAAATGTTTCTGTCGTACCGTCAAAACATCTGAACTAGAAACGTACTTTTGGAAATTTTGTACGTTTTGTAGCGAATAAACTGTTTTTAGAAATAAATGACACTACGGTAGCGACACGTGCACGCCACCTCAAAAAGTTGCAAACGTTTTAATTGACAAATTTACTCGCTATTCGTAAATTGCGTTCCTGCTATTCGTTAACCTATGGTAGACACCTTCAGCGGTTCAGAACAGATTTTATTATTTTTACTACCGATGCTGGGGCAGAAAGAAAAATTAAACGAGGAATATTTGCGTAAAGAAGGACGTGCTGATGATTTAAAAAAAATGTTGCAAATAAAAAAGCTATTTACTGAATTTTACTTTACCGTATCGCTGCTCAGCACCCAGCTGCAATGCTCATCTCAGATTTTTACAGGTTGTAACATGCTATGATTCATCAAATGTTCTGATTTAAATGGTGAAGAGCTATGATTTCCTTTCTCTGAAAATCTTTTATTTATTGTCACACGCGCTGCTGCTGAAACTGCTACCTTCTTGAATGCTTATGATCTGGGCTGTGCTTGGCAAAGGAAATAAAAATGCTAAGCTAAAATTTTATGGCAAAATACTCTGAGCACGCTACAAATTTTGTTAACAACTGCTGTTCACATCGGAAAAGGTGCGAATGCACCTCTTCTAGCACTTTTGTTTGCTCATACCCAACATTCACAGATGATTAACTTGCTGATGGGTGCTTTGCTCTGTAACAGACAATTCCGTGGCAAGCAGCGATAAATGCACCGTGGTGTAGGGCACGTACATGCAAATTGATGAAAGAGTGACGGTTATTTTCAATCCTTACACCAAGCAGATGAAATAAACGAATTTCTAAAAGAAAAAATGCAATACGGTGCAATTCTAAATTCTTTTTAGCTGTTTGCCTAATTTTTTGAGCCTATACCTGTAGTTATACCACCTGTATGACTTACCATATCAGTTTGCATACGTTTTATCTGCTGTTCTCATATCGCCATTCACTAACAGCATATGCCCCTTCCCCACATACCATCTTCCACCTAATACGCATTTATTTAATCCATTTGTACATTTTTGCCGCATCGCCAGGAATAAAGGCCTTTACCGCCGTACCACGCAGCACTTCTCTCCCAACCATCACTTCCAACTCCCAAACTTTTACTTTCCTTTTTTCACATCCCCAACATGGAGGGCGTATTCAACTCCAGAGACCTGTACGACTATCTCCAACACCATCTCAGCACGAACACGACCGTAACCCACAAGCTGAGCATGTACTTCAAAGCCACACAGAAACCATTTGATCCCGATCACTACATGCTGCAAATATGGCTGGACTATATCCAACTGCTTATCGAGACAGAAGATGATATTAACGATATAAAGTCTACGTTGTACATTCTTAGGAAGGGGTACTACCGGTTCAAGGAGTATTGGACGGTGTACTTGAGTTTTGAGGAGAGATTTTTTGGCGTGGATAAGAGAATGAAGTTTGTGACGGAGAGTGTGCGATTTTTGGAGAGCAAGAGAGAATTTGAGGGTAAGAAGGAGATTATTGGGTTTTTAATGGCAGCGCAGGGACATAACAGGACCGGAGATAGGTGTTCTGGCCTAGCAAACAGCGATGGTAGCGAGCTGCTGTCAGGTGACCTGAAAGGTACAGGATGGAATGTTCCGATTGTTAACGAAATAAACGATGGCATGAGCGCAAGCACAAAAGGCAATTTATGTTTTACCAACAAAGTATCGTTGGATACCGCAATTTATCACACGCCCTCATCGCTAAACGAGAACAAAATAAACTGCCCGATAGAAAAGGAAGATTATACAGAATCGATAACAGAGTCGTTGGATAAAATGATGAACAGAAGGTTAAAAAGATGCGGATTCGATGGCACTTCCATTGGTGACTCCAAGCTTGGAATAGAGCCGAGCAGCAGAAATTATGATGTGGTGCGCAGTATTCGTAGTGTTAGGCGAAGCATCGAAAGAGACTTTGGGACCACGAGCAGAAACATGGATAGAGTGATGTTGAATGGCAAGGAGCTGCAAGTACTTAGTGTAATTGGCAAGGGCGGCAGCTCGAAGGTGTATAAAGTGTCGTACAGCGACAATTTCTTTGCACTCAAAGTCATAAAAAACGTGACAGATCGCAAAATCCTGCAAAGTTACGAAAACGAAATAAACCTGATGATCAAATTGAAAGGTACCGCTGAAACGATAGAACTGTGCGATTATGCAATCAATCAAGACGAGGAAGGTTACACAATTCTTCTGCTGATGGAGTATGGTGAGAGCGACCTGACACATCTTTTGAAGAACAAAGAGCTCAAAACGAAGATATTTTCGATATTTTTTGGCAAATGCTGATGAACATGGATGCGATATACGACCAGCGAATCATACATGCGGATCTTAAACCTGCCAATTTCGTGATCTGTGGAAATAAACTGAAACTCATAGACTTTGGAATAAGCAAAGAAATCCGCACGGACACGACCAACGTGATACAGGAAAGTAAAGTGGGCACAATAAACTACATGAGTCCAGAAAGTTTGTATGGCAACAAGACAAGCAGAAGAAGTGATATCTGGTCACTCGGTGTAATTCTATACGAGATGATATACAAAAAGAACTTCATGGATGGGATGAATTGTTGGCAGAAGATTGACTTCCTAAAAGGGCCGGATCCGGTTCATTTCCCAGATGAGAAAATGGTGAACAACACATTTGACGAGCTGCAAAAGATTTGTGCCATGTGTTTGATTAAAGACCCGGATCGTAGACCAACCGTTAAGGATCTAATTGATCTTGTGAAGGAGCACAAGGCTATGATTAGGGTTAAAAGGTCGGACATTAAGACACTGGTACGAAAAGCAGCAGAAATAACCAAGCAGAACGGGTATGACATGCATTTACTGATAGATCGGATGGTTGATGAGTTTATAGAAGAAATGAGAAGGCGGTACCAGTAATACTTCAGAGGCTCAGCAGCTTGTTTGATAGAGCTGCAAATTAGAGCATTACCCAATATACAAGGTTCATATCGTGAAACATCCTGCGTATAAATCGATGATAAGAGCTTTTGACAAACACGGTGACCGTAAAAACGACAGAATTATATTTTTGTGCCTGTATAAAACCGCGGGACCAGTATGAATCGATATCGCTTAGCATTTATAAATGACGTGGCAAATTCCTCAGTTTCAAGCCGTATTGTTATTTAAAACGTTTTATTTATCGTTAAATGCCCATGTTCTTAGAATGACAGGTTTTAATTCAGTACAGCTGTATTTGTTCCGTGTACGTAAGATTTAAAGTCTTAATTCTGTTGATTACGGTGCAGGCGGGTACCAAAAGCTATTTGAATGCATCTAAGCAACCAACAGAGTTTTCTTCAACGGTAAGATGCTCTACCAAATAAAGAATCTACAGCAAAACATTTTAGCCGAACTCTTCGTTCAATCTCCTAATTTCTTCTTCCTCATCCCAATCACACGCCACATCCATCTTCTTACTTTCATCCTTTTCTACCACGGCCAAACAACAGTCTAACCCTATACTGAACAATCGGTCCTTGCTCTCCTGCAGACCCACAACGTATCCACCATGCACAAACAGCGTGGTAATTGTGCTACCTGTTCTTTTTTTTACCAAATTCCCATCCGTAAAATACGAACCTAAGCATACACGTATCCATTCTGTGCCCGTGTATAGAGTTCTGTTTTTTACCATCAATGTCTTATCAGCCGAGGATGTCATGATATCGCCATTTTCGTCCGTAGAAATACATAAAATGGATGATTGGTGGTGCGTTGCTATTTCATTAATTGTTCCATTATCGAATCGTTGAATTGATGGAACAGACATGCCCATGTATAGTTGATCATTCATTATGGCAAGACACAGTATTTTGTTGTTCATGTTCATTTTTGTCCTGATCTGCAAATCAAAATCCATAATGATCAAATTCCTGTCTATGCTCACGTATATACCACCATTAAAAATCTTCATGCACTTTATTATGGCATTTCCCAGGCAAATGCTCTTCATCTGTTTTATTTCTCTGTAATCAGTTTCAGTTCCATCCCCTTGATGTTGAAATGCGGTTTCTTTCCCTGTACTTTCTTCCAGTTCCATGTTGGTAGGTAGACTTGCATCAACCCTCATACCAGTAGATGAACTAATCCCCATATTTTCGTGATATTTTTTATCCGTGCTATATTCCCTCACATCTACGCTCATCTTACACACATTTCCGTTCCAGTCGCCAAAGAAAATTTTTCCGTTCTCGTACTCAACACACGAAATTGGTGACAGGCCGCTAAAAATTAACTTCTTGTTAGTGTAAGGCGGCTCAATCGCATAGATTTTCCCATCTGCTGTTGAAACTAACAGTCGATTCTCATCGAGCTTGGACAGACACAGCGGTTTATCGTTGAAGAATATTTTGTTCATAGGGACAAAATTTTATAACGAAAAAAACCGCTGAAGAGTGGCAAAGTCGAAAAGGCGTGTAGAGATGGTGTTGAAATGAATAAACATGATTTTGGAATAAAAAATGCACAGCGCTATATCAGCAAGCTCAATACAATTAAAGTATAATTCTGTCATACCACGTATTGTTGCAATAAATAGAAATATGCGTAATTACTAAAAATAATCGCGTGATACGTGATGCAAAATGGAACAATATTGTACTTAGATAGGTGGATATTCATAAAATTAGTGCTGAGGTGTTAAATGATAAAACAGTTTGATTACCAGCAATTGAACGAATTTTTACTTTACAGAGCATAACAATTATGTGCTGTTTTATTCGATCAAAAACATCTGTGCAAGGTTTAAAGGCCGTTTCAACCAAGGTGACGTGGAATAAACACTTCGAGGACTGACCGTACTTCGTACAAATATTGATCAGAAAATACCACAATAAGCAATTCACACCCAAATACCGATGCAAGGACCCTTCAAAAGAGTGAAGGTTGCGCGGTGAAATTTAGATCAGTTGAATCAGTCCTTTGAACATATAACAATTGATGAAAAAAATTGTAAAATAGGATTAGTGTGCAATCACAGCTAAGTAATAAGTAGGTAAGTACTTAAAATACGCAGTGTACCACTACAACCTTACCCTTTGTTCTTGTTGTTAAAGATCCAAAAAAATTTATATTGTTTTATTCCAAGCGCTTGATACACCATACCGTGCTATTTAGCTCATTTTTAGAATCTTTTTCGTGTCAGTGCGCCTTCCTTTTAAGCAAAAATTTTTGACCCCACGTATGAAAACATCAGATCGATCCAAAAAAATTTACGAAAGTAATATCGATTGTTGTACATCCCTCAAATCGACCCTTTCATCATCAATCGGTCCTTTCGGTCTCGACAAACTCCTCATCACCCCGTCCAACAAGATTTTAGTGACTAACGACGGCTCCACAATCCTCAAAAATTTGTCCTCATACCATCCGATCACCAAAATATTAAACAACGTGTCAATGACGCAGGATAAAATGGCCGGTGATGGCACCACCAGCGTGGTGATCCTGACCGCACAGATTGTAGAGAATGCGAAGGAGTTGATGGATGAGAATGTGCACGCCAGTGCTATTATAAGAGAGTTGAGGAGGGTGAAGGAGATTGTGATGGGATATTTTGAGCGCAGTAAAATACGTGTTGAGGACTTTAGCAGTGCAGTGCGGACATCGCTCAGCTCCAAGGTTGTGAGTGCTGCGATGGATGAGCTTGTGCCCTTGGCTTTGAAGGCGACTGAGTATGAAAAGCTGAAGGTCGTGAAAAAATTGGGCGATGAGATTGAGAATTGTGTGGTGGTTGACGGGTACTGTGTGAAAATAAAGAGCGATGAAAAGAACAGCGAAATTGCCGATGAGTACGCGATAGGACAGGTTAGTACCGCACTGCAAAAGAAGTACCGAATTGCGCTACTGCAGTACAACCTGAGTGCACCCAAGCCGAACATTGATTCAAAGATCGAAATTGAAGAAAAGATAGAGGAAATAATTAAGGAGGAAAGGGAGTACGTGTTTAATCTGGTGAAGAAACTGAAGGTAAATAGAGTTGAAGTAGCCTTTGTGCAAAAGAGTATTCTTAAGGAGAGCGTAAGCGATTTGGCAGAGTACTTCCTCAATAAATTGAAAATAAAGTTTTTTGTGCTGGAGCGAGAAGAGATCGAGGAGATAAGTCGTGTGTTTGAGATGAAGACGAGCTCAACGAACAATATCATCACGTATGACATGAACGTAGGCTTTTACGAGGACATCATTCTGCTGAATGAGCCGGAAGCAAAGGTGGAAAAGGAACGTGACAGAGAGAACAGGACAAATACGGGCGAAAAGATGGAAACTGCTGTGGTTGAGGGTAAAAGAAGCGAAGTAAAGAAAGACGAGAACGAAAAAATAGCGAGCGGCGCCACTGAGAATAGGCGCAAAGCCGAGAAGAAAGTCGGGTCTCTCATCGTTCGGGCAAGCGACAACATCCTTCTCGACGAGACGGAGCGTAGCCTCAATGATGCTATATGTGTAGCAAGATGCCTCAAAGATGAGCCATTTATAGTACCTGGCGGGGGGAACGTGGAGATGAACATCTCGCGGCTGCACGAGAATGAAATACAGAAGCGGATCATGAACGCGTTTGTGATCGTTCCATACTTTCTCTGCAAGAACGCTGGTCTAAATTTCTACAAGATTGGACAGGTAGCGGACAATAACGGTATTGATTGCGTATCAGGCAGCGTAGAAAACATGATCGAAAGGAACATCGTTATGCCTGTGAAAGTGGCTAAGAGTTACTTTGGGTTAGCCCTTGAAACTGCCAGTTTTGTTCTAAGCATCGATGATATTCTGCCAAGCTCTCAATAAAAATGTTAATTGATATTTTGTTTGTGCTGCATTACCAGCTGTGCTACTTACGTTTTAAAAACTGAACGAGTATTTTTCATTGTACTTGGACATCTCTATCCTTATTCAAAACCACCACTGTAAATATTGCTGTTGGATTATGTATCAACATTAAATGACGCATACATCTCAAGTAACTGCCTTTTATTTCGTTACAGTTCGCTTTTTATCTTGCACATCGTACAAATAAAATGAAGAATTGATCCGTAGTTTGCAATTACGCCATTTTAATGCCCATCCTCTCACATTCCCGGTATTCATCAGCAGTTCGTTTAATCACCACTTTGTTCGTTACGGTGATCTACGCAGGAAATGGTATTTTTAATTATGATGAATTTACAGCATTGATAAAAGGAAATGAAATATTTTGAGAATTTGAAAGAATTGCATTAAAAGATGAAATGAACGCTTTACCTACGAATACACGGTATTTTGAGAATTTGAAAGAATCGCATTTAAAGATGAAATGAGCGCTTTACCTACGAATAAACGGATTGTGCTCTTCGTTGCTGCTCTTATAGCGTTCTTGGAAACGCTAGATCAAATAAAATGTGATAAATTGAAAAAAAGGTATAAAAGCGATGAGCGCTTGAATAAACAATGAGGTATTTGAATGGGTTGGCTTCTTTGCTGAGATTACTGTTGCAGGTAGTTATCACTGGTGAGCACTGTAGGAGAGAATACGTAAATAATGGTGTAAGAGATAGGTTTGAGTACTTGGATGACCAAGACATGGTAATGGGTGCACTGTGGATAATACCGATGGCAATACCAGTGAATGGGCTGAAGGTTGATTGGTGGAGATTTTGCACGTGCATTTTAACGCGGTTGAAACGAGAAGGAGTGTGCAACGAATATGGTAAGATAAATAACGGTGTAGCATTGGTAAAAATGCTTTATGACGAGTTGAGAAGAGCGGTGAATAATTCTGTGTTGGTGATGGGAAGAGCAAACAAAAAGCTGAGAATGCTTTTATTTGCTATTCAATTATTAACTGATCGCTTTAAAACGGGCAGAGCAGAAATTTAGAAAGTATTTGGAGCTGTGGTGAGGATGGGTGAGAAATTGGTGGTTGCTTTGTACAAAATGTGGTGTATGCCGGTTTGCCCACGGGACAGGGCAAAAATAGCATTCATTATCGTTCCTAATGAATGTTATAGAAAGTAAAATGAAGTACCTTCGTATTTTTAGCAGTTTACCAGTTAAGCTGTTTGTATTTGTGAAACGGATCAAATGTATATTGCAACATATAATAATCTATTTTGCACCTTACAATGTTATTCTATCCTGTTCCTTGCTATTGCTATCAGCTGTATGTTTTTGAGAAATGTACAAAAAGTTCTTTTTGGTTATAATCGTGTTTTTTTCAATATATCGATGGTATCATCTCTTGAACGATCATTTATTTAACATACAATCCATCCCAGTACAAACAAACCGAAGTATTACCGTTTAAAGGACGAACAAAGTATTGCAGTGCAAAGCTTGTGCAGATTTATTCATGTTAAAAGTTGAATACCGATTGATGAGCTGATAAAAGTGCTTATTGCACAGCAGCGTAGTTTCTGGTTCATTTTTTGCACCATCGTGGTATTTATTGGAGTAAATACAAACTGCAGATGGTATGGCAATCAAAATTTTACCTACAATTTGATTGTAAAAAGTGCTGGTGCAACAGCAATATCATTTGTTGATAAAAATGTAATTATTATTTTTTGAGATGTGAAGCGCAAAGCTGATTGCTATACCGGGCCAATACTAACAGAATGTGCAGCTGTAAGCATGAAGTCTTTGAGGACGTTAGAAATTCACCTTGTCCTGCATTCTGCATATAAAAATGCATATCAATTGAATAGCACCAATAAATGTAGCAAAACGTATTCAGAACAACGTACGTACACGGTTGTGTATTATTGGTGCCATAGATGATCATTCTGTGCCAAAATCAAATAACCTATTCCACTAGAACAACAAATTTTGGTAAATGATGCGCTGTTTTAAGACACATTATAATGCTTGAACGGTAAGCCATTCGACACAGTCCTGTTTATTTCTATGTCATCCTCACGGTGCCGCTTGTATTATGGACATGTTCCATTTTTGTTCGAAGATCAAAATGGTAATTTTTTGAAGGTATTTTAATTATCGTGGTGATGCGAATCAACCATTAAAAATACAATTTTACACCACAAGGTACTTTTTTGGTCTCATACAACTGTTTGGCATGCTTATGTGGCAGCGTATCTGTTGTTGATCTTTTCTATGGATTATAAGATCGGTACCAATGGTATCCTTGGCAAAAATAGCATGATCTACCCAAAAAGTTATAACTACCAACATAAACCGTCAGCTGCCGCAAAGAAGTGCTCTCTATGAGTTAAAACTCAAAATATTTTTAATTCTGTACAATTATTCTATCATTGCTGCTTCAGTGCTTGCACATTATCCTTCAACATCACTTACATCCTCACCGTGATGTAAATAAATTGCTACACCCTATTCCATCCTTTTTACCAAGAGCATATTCGTTTATCTTCCCATACAGCGCTCAAATAATCACGTTTATCCTCCATACACACGTCAATACTCACCACATATTTTTTTGGTTTGATCCTTCAACACGTCTTCAACGAGTTTACCTTGCCCCTGCACTCAAATGGATGAGAAAATTAGCGGTGAGTTTTTCAGCCTGCTGTTCAATCTCTGTGTCAAATCGACATCATCTCCGCACTCTCTCGGCGAATCGATCGGAAATCGTCTTGCTGATGATTTTATACTGCACACGGGGATAAGCCGCAAGTTAAGTATTGATGAGCTCATTCATACGGTACAAAACGATTTTTTTCCGCACTATTTGTCGTATTCACCTAAAAGACGGACCAATCGGCTGTATTTTAAAAATTTTGATCTACTGACACACAATAAGAATAGGAAGGATGCCCTTGATGTGTTTGCTGGCATTTTGAATGTTATTGGTGCCTGTTTGTGCGATGATGTTCATATTAAAGTAGAGAGCGATGATGCAGATGATGGCAGTCTAGCGTTTTATGACAAAAAAAATGAAAAGGTAAAGTTCTATGACCTTGAAATGCCAGATAATGGCACAAGGACCTGATACTTGCGAATAAACAGCAAGGTTATCCATACAGATGATCATGATGAACCAAATAGTTAAATAAACCGGTATTGGTGAAGCGATACGTTTAGCTATCCGCGAAAGGAGGATATAATTCTCATTTGTGTACAGTAAGGCTGCTCGTTACATTACAAAATTGTGTTCAGGTTTAAAATTGCTGATAATACCAATAGCTCAAATTTACTGCTCAACTTAAATGAATTGCCTTAAACAGCAATAAAACTTAAAATTATATCATTTGGTATCAGCATTAGAGCCAGCAACACAGCATAGTATTATTTTAATGCTCAACAATGTAGTTGCACCGCTGTAAATCACCATGCCATATCAACCATAGTCACTGAGGTATGTTGCTATTCCAATACGATCATTTATTTTTCACCAAAAGTACGTTCATTTATCGTCCCATATCACAGCACCTAAACAAACATTTTACCAATAAAACATATTATTCTACGAGTATACGGCAGTTTACCAACAGTTCAAAACCTATGAAAAGTGTTCGTGCGCAGGAATGCAAAAATCGATAAATAATTCTGAGTTGCCATAGAAACAGGTCCTATTCAACCAATTTAACGGTACAAACGTGGCATTAACCATACACCTCTTCTTACATGCCCATATCGTACAAAATGGTATGCTTTAGCTTACAGCACAGGGAAAGCAGATCATTGCCAGCCAAGGAACTAAAACTATTGAAATTTGCTCTTAAGGACATAAAATGCGTGATTTGGGCGTATCCCAAGCTGTTTTCAGCCAAAAAACTTAATTTTTTACAGCATGCAATTCGAAATATCAAATGTAGGAACACGGTGGCCAGAGGAACGATCAATGATGCTTTATCGGTGCAATACAGAAAAATACGTCCGTTTGGATGTAAAACACTTCATACACTGCCAATAGAAAAGAAAAGAGTGAACAGAAAGGTATTCTGTGATTTCATACGTAATCTTTGTCAGAATTTGATGAAGAATAGGAAAGAAATTCCTAGAACGCTGATTTATAGACCTGCCAGAATGCTTGCAGGTAGAATTCAAGTTACGATTCGATTGAAAGACACTTTACAGTCCAAACAGATAATAAATGAGTTTGCACACAGGTACGCGTTAAATAAGATGAGCGTGCCACTACAAATGACTGTTTGGGTGAATATGTACTATTTAAACGAAAAGGTGAGGGATGTATTGCAGATTAAGAAACTCTTCCCTGTGATAAAGCTTTACAACAGGAAAGATGGTATCACGCTGCGAACCGGTGATGTAAAGGTAAAATTTAATCGAAAAAATTGTATTGATGAATATTGCGGTTTGCTGTACAAAAGACTAGCAATGGTTGAGAAATGATGACATTAAAGCATAGAAAGTATTCTTATGTTAGAACAGGCGGCACTGCGTGTGTGATGCACGCTATAAATCGCAATTCGTTCAAACCGCAGGACATTTCAATTGTTGCATGTATCCTAGATTGTTTTCTATTATAAAAGGTTTTGAAGTATTTGCTCCGTATTGCTACGTTCATTATCGGCATCACATCATGAAGGTGTACGAGGATCACATCCCTATGACAGCCTAGTTATGAACCAAATTACCAGTGTTACTTCAAAATTTATGTGTTATTACGGGGTATGTGAGCGGCACTTACCACGTTAAATCAAAATATGAAAGGCACTTAAACTTACTGAGCTTCATTCACAACACCTTTTTATCGAATAAAGCATCGCACTCCGTTTTAAACCTGAGATCGTTAATTTAATGTTCATAATACGTTATCAACCGCAACACAGATAAGGCTGAAAGGTGATAAGCATAGGTTCGCTTGCAAATCCGGATGTTACAATACTTTTTATTCTCTTCATCCTTCCAAAGGAAATATTTGCCTTGTATTTAATACGATATTATCTCCGCACTACGTACATCGAAACCGTAACTGCTCATCTCAACGTTAAGTAAATACTCCGCCTTAAATACAACTTTAAGATATCAAATGCGTATACGGCACTAACATACCGCCATGCACACTTTTCATAAAACGCTATTGTCATTGCTCCACCCAATCCTTTTTCCCCTACTCTTCCTATCAAAATAGTTCGTATTCCTTGTTTTGATCTCTTTGATCTTATCATCTGAAATGGTGTACAAAAATGGTACCTTCAACGTTTTGAATACTCTTTTAACCTCTTCCCTCATCAACGCCGTAAATAACACCTCAAACTCTTCGCTACCTATTCGAAACAAGGTCTTTGTTTTGATCTTTTCACCATACGTCCTCTCAATACTTTTTTGTGTCTGCCTAATCTTTTTCTTAAAACTTCTCACGTGCAAATTGTACACTTTATCGGTGATAAACGCGTCTTTCTTCTTACCTATCACGAGATACGTCTGCAGAAGAACATTGTGCAGCTCACTGTTTGCACACTGTACCAAAATACACCGGCTTAATTTGTTTAGCAGGTCAAATCGACAGCATACCACCATGTTTTTGCATTCATGTGTTTGTAGAATGCTGATTATCCTGTTAAGTTTGAGCTTCAGCGCGAGTTGGTCTTCCAGCCCTTTTAGATTCGATGAAAGTATCCGTATTATGTCAAAGTTTGGTCTTTCGCCGCTAATAAATCTTTTAATGTTTTGGTAGAGGAGGTAATCGTAGTAGAAGTAATCAACCATTGCGCTCATAGTGGATGGACAGGGCATAGGAAATTTTAGAATATATCATCATGGAATGGGGAAGTGGTAAGACACATATGCGATCGATAAGATTGTAGAAAAGTGCTGGGCGAAAAATGACCAGATCATGGTATTATTGTGTGTGTCTATTCGCAGGCATGAGGAGGGAAGATGGAATAGACAATTCCGGTGTTGCAACACAGAAATTATTTTTTTACCCAACTGAATCAACCACAGAGGGTTTAAAGAATACGCAAGCTCAGAAAATACCATATATGAACATTAGGATCAAATACTAAATCAATATTAGACTTAGACTTCAATAAATGTGTTGGTTAACAGCAGTTTCTCCCTTATCAAAAACATAATAAAAAATAAGCTACGGGTCTTGGACGAAATCACACAAAAAAATTAGCGGGAAGATGAACCGTGCATCTGAGGAGACTAATTTTAACCAAAGTATGGCAATACGCGTCTGATCAACATGCTGAACTCGCGTTATCAGCGATGACCACAAAAAAGTCTTTTTGGCATATCACACACTTCTATTGTGCAATTTTTATCGTTTACTAAATGTTTGTAAACATTTTAATTTGTCTGACAAATCATGGCAATTAAATTAAATCAACAATTCCTACAACCGGGATATTGGTGTAAAATTGGTCACGTCAAGCTTTGTCTCCTGTTTGTAGCGTTAATATACAAAATTCTGAGCAGCTGTGTTTAAAATGGTACACGATGTGAAACAAGCATTTTTAACAAACTTGCCATGATAATTGTGCTGAAAATTTTGCCAAACGATGCGAAACAAGTACGCCCAGCAGATCTTAAAAGAATTTAACTCACCAAAACGCATTATTCGAACTATCTAAGTCACAGAACTGCAAAAAAACTCTTTCCCACCGAAATGCCATTATTAATACATAAATAGTAAATTGCTATTTATGTTTTAATTTCCCACATAAAATATTTTTTTAATTATACGGATCTTTTCGCAAACCATAGCTCTAAATCATTGCATTCATGCACAAATCGGAAAAGCCCACCAAAACAGATTTTATTGGTGTAAAAAGTGCGTTTGAGCACCCAGGCAGATAGCTAAGAAAGGGGTTTGACCAATTCTACAAATTTGCACCCTCATTTACTGTGGAATAGCCATGTTTTGACAGCGAAAGATTTTGACCGGTTTGCCGCTAGGAACATAAATGGTAACTTTTTGATACAAGGCTGGCTGACAGGTGTAAAAACGAAAGAGTGCCAATAACATCATTTCCATGTGTGATCACAAGTACAAACAAACCTTCTTCATCAGTTCGCTACACCACAGCAATCTGTATCCATGGCACAAGCACGTATTGGTCGAACAGAGTATACAGCGCTTTACACCTGTGCTCGTATTATCCTTATCTTCGTTTGTAAAAATTGTGCACGTATCAAAAAATGATCACGGAAACAAAATTTTATTAACACTGAAATATCGCAGTACCCCACGATGAACAAGAATAACAAGCTGTGCAAAAGTATTTTGGAAATAAACAAGGATAGATACGTTTTCAAAGTGATGCATGATGACGAGGTGGTAAAGAAATACGAGCTAAGCATGGGCGCGTTTGATGAGTTCATAAGAGACAGACGAATTGACGTGGCGGGAGAAGACACTCTAAAATATTTGGATGGGCTTGTGAAGGAGAGGGAACATATGGAAAGTGTGAAAGAGCAGGATGAGAAGAGCATGGTAAAATTAAAAAATGTTTTTGGTGACGGGCAGGCGAACTGTCTGAATGAGGCTCAGGGTGATGATAAAGAGGAGGCAGGGTCTAGTGAGAATGTTGTGGTCGAACAAAATGCGGTCAAGGACGAGGATGGTGCTCCTGCTGCAGGCAAAGGTACGCAGATAAATGATGAAATAGCACGGGCATGGCTGAGTCTTACACACAGAAAGGAATACTCGGTTCATGAGTACAACAAGTTCAAGCTCAGCAACGAAATAGCAGACATGGAGAAATACTTGAAAAACAAGGCTGACATCCTAAACGACAAAATTATTTACATGGACAGCAAAAAAATAAAGAACACATACGTAGAGGAGGAGAAGTGGTCTGCACATGAGCACAGTCTGTTCCTCGAGTATTTTACGCTCTTCAACAAGAAGTTTCATGTCATAGCAAAGTTGCTAAACAGAAATACCAAGGACGTGATTCTGCACTACTATCACACCAAGAAAAAGGAGCGGTACAACAAGAAGAAGAATGGCAGGCTGTCCGACAGCAATCTTAAAGTGATGATTGACCTGGAATGGACGGATAGCGAAAGGAATAAATTTGAAAGGTTGTATGATTTTTACGGGAAAAATTGGAAGGCGTACGAAGGGAGTTTTATGGGGAAAAATGTGAGTGATTTTAAGAGTTATTACAGGTACTTGAGCAAGAACAGGGATGAAGAGAAAGAAAGCAAGACAAGCTGCAACAAAAACGTGGATGACAGCGGAGAGAGCGTGGCTGTGTGTGATAGAGATGCGGATGACAATAAACAGGGCAAAATATTTGATCAAGAGATCGGATGTGCTGAGCAGTGCGAAGAAAAGAAAGATATGAACAAAGAAGCGAAAGATACAGCAAACAAAACAAAGCCTAAGACAGCCGCAAGAAGAGGAAGAAAAAGAGGAACGGCAGCAAAGAGAAAGCCGAGTTATAACACGGTCAAAAAACCAAAAATAGAAAAAGAAAACAACGTTAACACCAAGCAAAATGTCCTTGAGGAATGGACCATTGATGAACGGCAGCTGTTCGCCATCTTCTATCCCTATATTGGGAAGAATTGGAATGATCTGTCGCAGTACATCACCACAAAGAAGCCGAGCGACTGTAGGACCTATTTCAAATTTTATTTTAAGAATTTATCGCTTGCCGAGCAGAAGCTGGAGGCTGCGATGAGAAGCATAGAGAGAAACACACTATCAGTGCCAAGCAGTCCACGCAGATTGAATGATGATGACATCATTGATGATGTAGGGATTATCTTTAAGAAGTGAGAGATGCGTGCTTGCTAGGCCGTTATACTGTAAATACCTATTTATATTACGGTGAAAGGAAGAACAGCTTGCCCTAAAAATCGAGCATTTAGCTGCTGTTCTACGGTACTGACAATTCATAGAGCGCTATTTAAGGATTGCCCTTCGCCGCAAGTTATGCGGTAAAAGACGGGTAGGTCCATTAAATTTTTTGAATGACTTTCTTTCTGTGGAGGACAAATGAACCGTCGTCCTGCAACAAAGTTCCATCCGTTCTGTAAGGTTGTATTTACTTAACTTTTACACTGTTGCTCGAGGAGGATCGCTGTTATTGTAGGAGAGTGATTTATTTTTGGTATGGGGGCAGTGTTTCAAACACCGTGGTTACTTAAGAAATATTCTTTGTTCAATGCTGGCTGTCTAAACAATATTTTCAGCAGTTATCTTCTCTTTTTACACGAGAAGATAATTTTTTTGGCAATCGCATTTAATCCATGCACCATACCCGTAAAGCACCTGCTATCATAAATAGGATGAGAACACATTCGGGCACCAAACTTATAACGTAAATATTTCTATCATTCAAGGTATTTTCTATTTTTTGTAGGTATTTGATGCTTTTGATTTCGAGCTCCTCCGTTTCGTTACCAGTCATTTATGCATTGGATGTTGTTCATCGATATAAAAGCCGCATAGAGATCAGAACAGTGAAAGAGGCGCTTGGCAATTGAGTTAAGATGCAAAGGACATGAAGGTAGAGACAGCTGCACAACACCTAACATTGTTTAAATTAGACTTTTTAAAGGTACTTCCATACACTAGACGGGCACAAACATTCATTGTTGTTTAATGAGGACATGCCATTAAATGTTAACGTGGAGACAATGATTCACATTTAAGCTGCGTGCCTTTGTTTCAGAGACAGCAGCGAAATGAGCATTTTATCATACTTGCGCGCTGCTCCCCATAACACTGCACTAAGATAGGTGTTCAACTAAAAATCACCGTTAAAAACAGTATTTGTCTTACCTACCCGTATTTGAACGAGTTATGCTACATCATGGTTCGGTCGAACGGTGCAGTATTAATTGTGCACTCCTATCCACCGTTGAGCAATCATCAAAGATGTTCTGATTCGTGCCCTGTAACTGTGCTAAACAGGCTTTATTTGTCTTTTGGTGCTCAGCACTCATGAATGATGCATTGCTGCAGGATTGGTTATTATTTATGTTTAATTTTTGAGGTAGAGTCAGCATGGCCGAGTGGTTAAGGCGGTAGATTCGAAATCTACTGGGCTCGTTCCCGCGCAGGTTCAAATCCTGCTGCTGACGGTAGTTTTCCCGATTTGCAATCGAGATGGTCCGGTTGCGATGCTTTGTCTGTGCACTACGAGCGTGTGAAATGGCTCTAACTCTGCATCCTCCATTTACCCCAAGTTGTGCCCGTTACGGGTTCACCATGCCAGTCGACCTGAACATTTGAGGACCGTTTGCCTATTTACAACGATTTATGGTAAGGATTACGAAAACGGCAACAACCGTACCGACCAAATGAAATTAAATCTACTCTTTGCACGGCTACTCCTCACTCCACCACAAAAACTATGTGTTATAATTGATAAACGCTCTAAACCTTGCATGCCATCACAGCGCCACAAGTGCGCACAGCATTTTGCACACAAGCCACAACACAACTGCTCATGTGCCTGTCCGGTAAAGCACGTATTTCTCCTCGCGCACAAATTTTATATTTGTTGTGTTCGCCATACCCTTAAAAATGTACTTCTTCATTTCCCTGCCGGTAGACAGCCGTGCATCCGCAGTTAATCTGCTCACGCACCTCAAGAAGCAGCACCTGGACGTGTTCAAGCTGAACGTGCCAATCAACCACTGGTCATCCTTCGGTGCAATGATTGAGCTTACCGAGCAGCTGGACGGGCTGTCTCGACAGGTGCTCGATCTGTTCAACAAGCTTCTGACAGTCGATCGCGACCTTGTCAAGAGTCCTTCGTTTGTGAAGAACGTTGACTTGAACAACAAGATAGAACGTTTCGTGTGGCCGAGCGAGAAGTATCCGCGGGCGGCGCTCGGTGACATGTTTGAAATGTTTGTGGATGAGCTGGCGCTTATCCGAAAGAATTTTGAGCTTAGGAGCGCGAATTACGATCGCAGCAAACGAAAAATGGTGGATATCAAGAAAAGGAAGAATGGGACGTTGAAGGAGGTGGACCTTGCAAATATTGTGGATGAGGATGAGGACTTTGAGTTTCTTGCGTATTTTTATGTGCTGATGGACCGGAATAGGCGGTTCGAGGACGAGGACATCAAGGATTTGATCTATGTAAAGGAGGTTGCGGGCGACGAGGAGCAGCATCTAGTGCGGTTTCTTGGGCTCAAGAGCAAGCGCGAGCAGATCGAGAAGCAGCTTGTGGAGAGGAAGTACACCGTAAAGCATTTTGAGCACTTTGATGAGGACGTTGACCGGATAGCAATAGACTTCAGTGTTGTTGAGAAAGGATACTTCACGTTCGTTGACACGTATCTGCTGGAGTCGTTTGACCTTTTGCTGTGCGTAAAGCTCACAAAGCTGTACGTTGACAGTGTCCTGCAGTACGGCCTGCCCAACTCGTACATTTTCCTCGGGCTAAAGGATAAGAGCATGGACGGTGTGGTAAAGAAGTGGATAAAGGCGCTTAAGAACTTTGATTTTGGCAATAGGGTGGTAGACTATAAGGCATTTGATGAACGCGTGGCGTACAGTTCTGTTGAGGAGGTGCTTGTGAATGGAAATGAATAGGTGGCACCGTGCTGCAGATGCGTATTGGTGCACGACCGGTTTTTAATAAAGAGATACGAACACATGTGGCTGTGGTTGCACGCCTTTTTTGGTTTCTTGCGTTTGAAGCGCAGTTTTACGTCTTTTGGCATGGTCAATTCACACCGATCGGGATCGTGAATAGGATGCGGAAGTGCACAACGAGGTGCAGTCCTGAAATGAGGATGGTTCTAGCAGCGGATAAAGTGTACGATGAGCAGTTTTGTTGGTGTGGAGCGGTAAAAGAGATGCAAAGAATGGATTAAACGTGCGATTGTTGAGGCTCGCAGATTTCATCATCAGAATCGGTGTTTTTGGCTGTAAACGTGCCAGCGGCTCCGTAATAATAAAGCAAATTGGACCGAACACCGGATGAAAACAGAAATTACGATCAGGAACAAAAATATTTGCAGTACCAGCAGGTGTTTGAATGACACTCATAAAGAACCGTGCTCTCGCTCAGAATTAGCAAATTCGTGGATATCGAAGATACTTTTCATTGCAAAGGTGGTGTTAGAGGAGATCCTTTCAAAACGTATGGCTGGTGCTGCGGAGAGTACGCGCTGCAATTGCAAAATAGCACCTCAATTTATTTGCGCTTTTACCAGAGTGCACCTGCACCACAGATGGTAAACACGATCATACGAATAGGGGACCGTCCTCAGCCATTAAAACACGGTGTGCTGACCTTTCTTACACTTTGAACTGTTTTTACATAAAAGTTGTGCATTCACCCGGTCTGTGCGTTCTCAGCACTGCTAATCCTCAAACACCGTAGACAGCCCGAGCGCAACGATTGTCATCGTGAAGAAACCTGCGAACACCGCTGCGATCTTCCTCTGATCGCGCTTCTTAAGCGAAAAGTGGTGGTTGAACTCAGAGTTAAGCATTTCAATAAATCCTATGTAGAAGAACGACCCGCATGCTATTCCGTTGAGCAGCTCGGCTGTCCGCGATGTGGAGTACGTGCTGTTCATCAGAACCAGCCCCAGCACAGTGCCAAGCGGCGTTAAAATGGAGTAGAACACGAGCAGGAACAGCGTCTCACACCGTGAAAAACTGCTGGTGTGCATGGTTACACTCACAACGAATGCCTCTATCCACTTATGCCCCAGTAATCCGGTGGCATACCACATAAGACCCGTACCCGTCTTAACAGACGTGCCAAGGCCCTCCATAAAGCTGTGCACACTCAGCGCACAGATGAATATGAGTGCTTGCAATCTGCCGTTCATCTTTGTGATGGTCTCACCGTGTGAGTCCCTGTACTGCAGGTACAGCTTGTCTATGGAAAAAAGTATGAGAAAGGATATGCCTGCGCTGAACGGCGCAAGGAAGCACCGCTCACACGTGTAAATGTCGGGAAAGATGTGAAAGATGATTGTGCTGAGCAGTACGCCGCCGGCAAAGCATTTTGAGTAGAACGACAGCTTCGTATTTTTGAACATTGCGTATGAGAATGAGAAGAACAGCGTGAATGCGAACACGAATAGCGAGAAGAGCAGTAGAACGGTATTATGTATCATGTGCATGCCCGCACGCCGTATATTTCTATTTTATAGTACGGTCCTCCTTTTCAGTGCAAGTCAAAATGTCATGCTGTATTAGTGATCGTAGATGACACTCGATTCGTGAATAAATGCCCGACTATTCGTCATTTCACCATGACAATGCTGTAAAGGTACGGAAAAGGGACACGCCTGTTCCATTCTAAGGAGAAAAGCGATCACAGCTGTTTATTGGCTGATTAGCAGTAAATTAAGTTTCATCTGTTCGTCATCCTACCACTTTGACCAGGCGTTCTTGAAGTAGCACAGCAAACTTTTCCTGAAATATACACATCAATTGGAGAGTGCACAATTTTTATGAAAGTGTGCGTTTGTTGGATGGCGAGGTATGAAAATTAACTGTTATTAATACGGGAATGCGGTCCTGGTGACAACCGGAAATTGTGATCGCAAAAAAACGTTTAAAAGATGTGAAAAATCAAAGGTAGCACGAGTGGTAGATTACTTTGAGGAATGAAAAGGTACCACAAATAAAGTAAGAATGTGTTTTGTATTGCAATAGAACGTACCATTTTATAATTATTACATATCAACAGCACTTTTGGTGGCATTTTTATGTGGTGTTCGGCTTTTACTCCCTGCGATACGATGAGTGGTTGGTTAGACCAATATCGATGATATCAGGGGCATTCTTTCACGTCAGTGTAGACGTGGTAGATCATATGAGAACAGCTAATGAACTCTGTGAAAATAATTTACCTAAATTATACAATTCTATGCACTGTGTGATAAAAAGATCGTTTACACCGTGTAAAAAATTTGGCGATGTAACTGGAACTGAGCTACGGGCCATTTCAGTAGAAAATGATAAAATGATCCTGGGAAAGCGCAGGCCAAGAGCATGCAATAAGAAAGTTTGCGATGAAAATCGCAGTGCCAACGCATCCATCAGCAATTCTTCTATTCGAAGCGCTGAACAAAGCACCAAACTAAATTTACTTACTTCGGTTTTACGAGTACAAGGCTGTACGTGTTTAACGATCAATAACTGCTCATTATCCTCACAAGACATGATACTTGTATCTTTTCTGAGCATCCCACAGCTATTCGATGCTCAATCTCCGCTATCTCCTCATAAATATCGTAGTTCTCAAATTTCTTCGATTCTCTAATATAGCACGTCAGCCTCCGAAAGAATGTCACAAAATCAAGCTCTTCCAGCCTTTCAAGCACCACCGCCTTTGCCTCTGCAAATCTCCTCCCACGCGACAGCTCAAAGATTCTTTCAAAGTCTATTTCTGGTAAAATCATGTCAACCGTAATCGCACCTTTAAACCGCGAGAGCCCATCCAATGTGTTAACGAGCCTTCGCATGTCTCCTTCCGACTCCTGGACAAGGATGTCAATGCACTTGTCGTCGATCGGTATGCTCTCCATTTCTGAGATATGCCTGACTCGCTTTTTAATGGCATCTGAACTAACGGGCGAAAACCGGAACTTAGAACAGCGCGACTGGATCGCTGGTATAATCTTGTGTGCGTAGTTGGCGATGAAACAGAACCGTACATTGCCGCTGTAATCTTCAATAACACGACGCAGTGCGTTCTGTGCATCTCTGGACATTGAGTCTGCCTCGTCCAATACCACCAATTTCTTCTTGTTTTGGAACGAACGGCTCACAGCAAAGCACTTAATCTGCTCACGCACCACATTTATACCGCGGTCATCGCTGGCATTCAGCTCAAGCACGTTGCACATGATTGTCTGTTTGTACAGAAACTTTGCTATCGCACGTATTGATGTAGTCTTTCCTGTGCCAGGTGGACCGTATAAGAGGATGTGTGGCAGGTTGTCGTGCTCTTGCAGCCTTTTTAATGCCTCAATGACGAGCTCGTTACCCAATACTTCGTCTAATGTGGACGGTCTATACTTCTCGACAAGCGGCTGGATCGACATCAGGGGCATCCCACGGCCTGCAAAAATACGCTGCAAACAAGAAGTCCTTCTCATGCTGCCGACCCACCAGCACGTTCATTTTACATGCACACATTTTTGTCAGCGATTCCCTTTCCACCCGTAGAGCAATTTTACCGCCTTACGAGTACACCGCGGTTGCCCTGGTTTGGGCAGCAAAAAGCAGGCTTGTGGGGGAATTGAACCCCCGCCATCGCTTTACGAGAGCGACGTTCTACCGTTAAACTAACAAGCCTTACAACACACCCGCATTTTCATTTATTTATCATTGCGCACAGTTGAGCATCTTGGAACATTGTTGACACCACTTCCACGGCACTAATCACATTCACAGGCAATTTCCTTGTTGTAACCGTTAATCCGGGCATCACGCAAAGTCCTTTTATTTCTTTGGCAGCTCAGCCCTTGCATGCCCTATAAAGCGGTAATTCAGTTACCACCAGAACTTGCGCGTGAAGACATTCCGGAGAATTTGAAGAGCAACGAAACGTTCGTTTTCAAGAACAAAACATACGTGTGCGTAGAAATGGAGGCTAAGAACCTGTTCTGTTGCGGCATCAAGAGTGAGACAGAGACTCAGTTACCTACCGAGGTGCACTCATTCTTTTGGATCAGAGAGGCGTAGCGGATAGATAAATTCAATTTTCTTTATACTAACATGCTAGCATTCCTGTATATTGTAGTTCGTTGACCTGCTGTTCGCTTTGCACGCCATCTTTTTCTTTATACGTGACCGTTCTCGTTTGCTACATCAAGCTTATGATGTGATTGTTCAGATGGTACAGTACGGTTCATGTGCACGATGCGCTGTTAGATTTATTTGTAGCAGCTGATGACGTTCTTCGGGTGATCGGTAGCAGAGAAGTTGCTGGGTAAAACGCATCGCTTCTCCAAAATCGAAAAAGCGTGCTTGTTTGTATGATGCGTGTATAAAACGGAAAGTAAACACCCTCAAGGCTAGAACACGTGATTTACCTGTTTTAAAGACCCGTCGGAGTGTATGATATTAATTTTTGTGCCCGTATAGGTGCACGCAATCCAACCATTTGTATTAAACCAGCTTTTTATTGCCCACGTATTTCATAGTCCTGTGCTTCAACGATATAACTGACCCATGCTTCTTTCTTCACGTTGTCACTGTCTCGCACATCCTTTATCACCAGCTCTGACAGCGAAAAGAACTTGGACGTAAAGTTCATCTGAACCGGCCCAAGTCTCTCGCACCCGCTCATCAACACATCAAAATCGTATTTGATCTCCGCTTCCTTGAACGTTTCGTCCTTGATGATCCACTCGATGTGCTCATCCATGATTTTAACATGGCCTATATCCGAATCTGCCACCGTATTGTACGCCTTCTTGCTGATCGGAAATTTTACCGTTATGCACGATTTGTCACTCAGACAGCTCCTAAGCACGTAGTGGTTCCTGTCATGTTTTATGAGCGTGAGCGGCATTTGGACGGGATTGAATGTGTACGAGCTTATCACCCTGGGTTTGTTGCTCACTGAGAATTTCTTTACGCTGTGCCTCATTTCTATCTCGGTCTTGGGGATTGAGTATTGGATGTATAGCTGTGTGCTTGTATCGAACTGTGGATAGCATGTTACCTTTCCCTGCGCATACACGCTCAGCACTGTGCCGTTGTCCTGCAGAATTGCTCGTATTGTTTCCTCCACATCGAATTTCACACGTTCTTTCTTAAAGACCTGGTACTTATCTTTTCTTGGCCTGCATTCCTCGTCTAGCACGTATCCATTGAAAAACTTGTTGTCCATGTACGTGAAGAACCTGAAGTAATCACTGAGGTACTCAACACATATTCTGTCCAGAACGCTCAGCATAACGGGCACCTCTAGCTCCTTAGAATGACCGATTATGATGTAACCGTGCTTTTCCAAGCACGCAATATCGGTGGACTTAGCTTTTATGAGGCCCTGAACATCCAAGTTAGGATTGCCGTACAACAACGTAAAGTCCTTGTCGAACACGCTGATGCTCATCATTTTGTTTACGTCTGAGCCTGTGCATTTAAAGCAGTCCGGATCAAATTTTGTTTACCATGTTCGTGATCGAAACACGAAACAATCAAAGCACGTAGAAAACAAATTGGAACGCTGTATTGAAGGCGATGAACAGCAGAAAGAGGATGTTAAACACGTACAAATATTTTGTTGCACAGTAAGTGGTTCTGAATACCGTTCTACAATTCTTTCTCTAAAACTACATTGATCTCTCACCTCACACCCAACACTACCTAAATAAATGCGCTATTCCGGTTGGATATGGTGATTAATGGCACGTTTTCATGGCATAACGCCAAATTACGGTATAATATTGTGGAGTAGAAGTACCTGAGCGTTACTGGCCACGGTGAGTACAACTGTTGTTGATACGAGGGACAATAATTACTGTTGATGAGTCTTATTTGTGTTTTATTCATAAAATGCGTTTATTCATCCCCCAGTACCGCACCCAAGCAACACACTTTTCCAGTCCGCCTCAACCGGTAAATTTTTTACAGTTTAAAACGAACCACATTTACTGAATGAATACGTCTCATCTTACGAGTTGTAAATGCTTTGACACCAGCAAAACGTGCTCTTCCTCGTCGACATCGGAAGGGAAGCATTCCAGGAACGTAACCGTTTTAACATTCATTTATAGGGCGGTAACAGCATAACACGTAATTTTGTTCGAGTCAACACAGCTAACAACGATCTATTCGTTAGCTCTTCTCTCAAATCACGACTTTCTACAAAAAAACAGCTGGAACAGGAATTCACGCCATTAATTGTTTCTTAAGTCAAGTAAAACAATCATAACAGGATATTCATCGCCTGACACGTTTCTTAACATCCTTTTTATTCCGAATTCATCGCCTTAACTGCCATACTCCTCTTTCAAAAGTGCAGAATTCCTTGATTACCGTTTTAAAATGGCTTTCATCGTCGTATGTCAGCTCCTTCTTTTTTATCTTATCTCTCTGTTTGAGAATATCTAGCACCTGGTTCCTGACCGGTTGATGCTCACCGTGCAAGGGAGCGTATTTTTCGTTACACAACTTGACATAGTTCCTTCGTGCCAGTACCTGCTTGACTTGGTGGTATGAGAGCGGCGTATTCTTCATGATATCATCAATCGACACCATTTTATACTTCTCCATCGTTATATCAATCAGTTCACTCTTGTAATCGCTCTGCACAGGCGGTTCCTGCTCCTCCACCTTTTCGTCGTATCCCCTCAATTTGTACGTGTAGTTCCTTCCAACATGCAACTCTTCGTACAGGAAGAAGCTATCACCCAGTAACTCCCTCATTTTGTCCGCATCAACCGTGTCATACGCTTCCAACATGCGCCTTCTCTTATCCCTTAGGTACTCATCGTAGAAACTGTGGTCAAGAATTTTCCTGCCTTTGAATTTGATCGTATTGTCGTTAAGAAACGTGATTATCGTCATTTTGTCTATCCTAGAATTGTACGATGCTGCATCCACAAATTCTCTTGTGTTCACAACAACCAGTCTCTTCAACATTTTGTACAGGTAGAAGTAGTCCATAAGAACACCGTTTTTTTCGTTCACGCTTTCATTCTCATCTTCCGCATTCATGTCCTCATTAACACAATCAAAAAACGATCTGCCGGTCATTACATCGTATTCTTTGAGGTTGTCATCCTCAGCATCTCTGTCATAGCATGCTTTGGGCTCATAGATGCCTGCTACCCTCCTAAACACGAAAATCTTTCTTTTGCTGTCGTACGCACCGAGGTACAAATTTTTTGCTTCTGTTCTACTCGCACACAAAATAGCCTTCTTATCACACACAGGGCTTGGCATAGCAAATTCAGTATAAATATTTGTTTTTTGTTCGTCTGTCCGTATTTTAGCGATTGTTCGGCCTGTTTTTATGATTTGAACCGGATCATCGTAAATTTTAGCATTTCTGAACATCGTGGGGTACAAAACAGCAGACCTGCATTGAATGTTTCTCTGCCAGCAGCGTATCAACCACGGAAACGACATAAAAGATGCAAAATCAACGTAAACACCAACAAGTGCCTATAAATGTGTTTATTTACCGCTCTACCACATCAAACCCACTATACCGGGTTAGTGAGCAACTTAGGGGATGTAATTCTGTAAAGCGCATTTTTGCAGCCACAAGACGTGATTCCTCATGTACACAGTCTAATTTTTTGTAGATGATGATATCATCGAAACGATAAAATTCTTCATGGTTTATCTGCGAATACGACTTTATCTCACGTTGCTTTAGGTTACCTTTACCAGGATGTTGAACAGTTTCTAAGGCGTAGGACCACAAGCATTCTGAACAGCTCGTAATTGACAGCCCAAGCTTGACTGATGTGTGCAAGCGCTCATCGGTACGATTTCCTCATTTCTACCAAAATTGCAAGAACTTCCTCAAGCATTTTGAGCAGTTTTGTGTTGATCGGGTCGCTTCCATCCAGCAATGATGAAAAAAGATACTTAACACACGTTTTAGATTGATAGACGTACATTTCCTCGGCACAGCACTCAATTCGAGTGCCTTGGAGGAGAAGTGTCACTGAATAAGACATCGTATTGAAGACCAACCAGTTGTTGTGGTAGAAATATTTGAGCTGCGGTATGACATACGATGTGTCAGCCCATGCATGTGTGCTGGTCAAGGCAGATCTATCAAACATGGACAAATGCCCATCGTTTGGCGCGTTGGCATGTGTGTGCTGCATTCTTTTCAGGTAAATTCCGGCTATAACGAGCATGTAATTAAAAATTCGCAGATCACCATGCAAAACGAGATGCTTGCCGATGGGCTGCTCATTCTTGAAGAAGATATCGCCCACTATTTTATAATTTACAAGTTTTATCGCCTTGCCTTCCTTTACAAGCTCACCGATACGCACATTCTTCTTAAAATCAGGTAGAACGAAGTAATCGCACATCTGTGGATAGAAAATGCTGAATGCGGGATGTTTGAGAGCACCGTCCGCACTAGGTCGCTGCTCTTTTTCACTCAGCAGCTGTTTTAGTAAATCTCTCGCCAGATACGATATGTTTAGAGCATCAATATCGATAACCCTCTCTTTATCCATCGTAACACCCCGTAGTAGTTTGTACATGAGCAGACCGACACCGTACACATCTATCAGCTCGTCGTATTTCCCACCCATCTCCGGTGCCATGTACTTTCTGGTCCCGCAGTAGGTGTAGTGCTCATCTCTGCTTGCGGCCAGTCCAAAATCGCATATTTTTATATGAGTCTTCGTCAACAGCACATTCTCAAGCTTGATGTCTCGGTGCATCACGTTCGACCGGTGCATGTACTCCAGGGCCTGTAGCACCATCCTAACTATCTTTAAGACCGTGTTCTCGGTCAAGTGTTCGTTAAACAGAAGAGAAGAGGAATCGTGCAGATCAAACAGAAGAAGTGTATCGTGTTCGCGGTGTATCACGTCGCGCAGCTTCACTATGTATGGATGTGAGAGAGACTGCAGGAAAGAGATCTCATTTTCAGCTAGTGCCTGGTTCTCTTTGAGTATACGTTTTATTGCGATGGGCTTGCCCTCGTATTTTGCCTCGTACACCGTGCTTGTGCCACCTTTTCCGATTATCCTTACTATTTTGTAGAGCATGCAAAGGGGGGGCAATTCCTGTCCACAAAGACAGAACAGCTCGGTTAATTCACACTTTGTTTGTCGTAGGCCAAACACACAGCATGCCCTCTGTGATCACGAAAGCTTCTGTCACGGTGTTATTAACGGAGTTAGAATTGTTTTGGTCATTTCACTGAAAGTTCGCTTCTCAAATTAACAAAAGACCAAGTACTGATATACCTGCGGTTAACGTATCAACATCATTTCATAAAACCAATTCGTATCGGACATGATCAATAATACGGCATGCAAATGCAAAAACGGATGATACCCACGTTTCTCCTCACTTAGATGGGTTTATGGAAAAGCTGGCTTCGCACCATACCACGGTTATAATCTGATGTTTATAGCCATTTTTTGTGATATATCAATGAAATTACACAACAGTCTGTATAATTAAACCTACTTTACCGAATCTCGCTTTATTCCTCTATCCATACCGCAATAGTATGTTAAAACCATTTTAGGTATGCTACAGATCTTCAGCTCATTCTCCAGCGATTCTAACGATAGCAACCATACGTATGTGTTATTATCTCTTCTTTACAGCACCGAAATTCTGTTCTATTATTGCGTTTGTACTGGGTGCTCGTCATTTACTTGATGTACATATTCCTAATCCTAGGTATAAAATTTCATTAATTTAGAGCTATATACAGCAATACATGAATATATCAGCTTTATAACCATTGATGGGATGCTTTGATCACTTCAAATTGGCGTAATTCAGTAAATCTATTTCACCAGTAATCTACAGCAGACCAAAAAATGTTCTGTTTAGGTTGTACCAAAAGTGAGGTGATATCAGACGTACGTGTGGTAAAAAACTGTGTCATCTATGTGATGCTCTGTGCACGTTATAAGATACAAGTATTCTATGGTTGAACATGCGAAGACGTGTTCTATGGCTTGAATATGATGAAGTGTATGCAAAGATGGGATCAAATTTGATGTCAAAAAGAATCACGAGATCAACCTGGGGAGTAGGTTCTGGGTGTCCGCTCATATCAAGAAAGGAAGAACATGTGCAAAAATTCGAAGAATTACGTTCAAAAAACAATGTAAATTGAAAAACTTTGTAAACACTTGTACCATATAATCGCTGAGTTTGTAGGCCATAAAATACTATTAAAGCATCCCAACCGATGTAACACGAGCTATGCATCCATTCATATAGCACATTTTAATTATTTGTCTTAAATACATCAGAAGTTTTGCTCACTGTCAGCTTGTTCATCAGGACCTCACGAGCTATCCGCTCCAAAAGCTTACGATCAATATCTGGAAGTATGCTGGCACTATTCAGCGACAACAGTTTGTATCGCGTATGGATGTCAACGTTTTTGCGTTTAAGATTGTCCAAATAGCGATCGCTGCTCAACTCACCGTACATACCGATCACAATCTTCATAGATCGGAAGAACGGTGTTGACCCCAACGACCATTTGTCGAAAACTGGCTGAAAATACGCGATTATGTGGTAAACATTTTGCTCGTGTCTGATTGATATGGTCTTTTTGTACAGGATAAATTTGTTTTGCTCCATTTGCTTGCCAAGCGGAATGTTCTTCAGCGGTCGTGTGATATCGGTGAGGTGTTTCTTCCTAAATTTTTTGCAAAAATGCCGCGTCTCCTCCTTGTAGAGCAGAAAGGGACCGGTTATTTTAGATGACGACCATAGTCTGCCATCTGTCCATCGTAATATACCACGACAGTCACGAATGAAGACGAAAATAGATCCGCTTTTTATAGAAGTTCTTTCCCAAATAGACAACCGTTTTGACAACGGGGCAATTATGCCCAACCTGACAGAATGTACTATTTGATATGCTTCTTCATAGGTGTGCAAGTATCCGCGTAAAGAGGTCATTCTTTCGAAACTATTTTTCCATTTTATTTTGAAGACGATTACCCGCAATGATGTCATATTACAATTCGAATTTCATGGATATCAGCGATGCTACTCTGCATGCTGATTGCGAGGACACAGGAATGATCCGTAGGACATTCACATCCAAGGATGGACAACTATAAATAGGATTGTATAGCCATCTCTTTGTGTACTTACACAGTAAACTGAGAGGTAATGGCATCAATCCGGTTATATTTGATTTTTACTTACGCAATACCAGACTTATTTTGTGAAATGTCGCCATAGGCACACCAATAGACAAAGTTATTATCATCTATCATTCCCAAGGATGTGCAGCAAGCATACTTGATACTTGTCCAAATGCTTTTAAACCGCATGCAGAATGCGAAGAAAAGTTAAATCATGATCGCCCAAGGACTGAAAGAGTCGTGGTATCTACCGGTACATCAGAAAGATCGTGTTAACAGGTATGTAATGAAAGTCATAGCTTTAGTAAATATTTTTTACCAAAAAGCTCAAATGGAGCTGATCAAGAGGTCAAATAATACACATTATTATTAAATTGCATATTATCAGGAACATGTATCCATAAGCGTACATAGGTATTGGTATCGAATTCTGTGCCGGATACAGATAAATAAATGGCTAGCACTTGAAACAGTTGTGCCTGAAACAGAACAGGAATATATGTCGTAATAAATCGTGTAGACCAGCTAAAACCCATCTTTTTGATGTAGTGATCGTAAATTCTGGCAAAAAATTTGAGTTAAATCCAAAAATGTTTTCAATGATTACGTATAATCAGTTATTCCCTCAGCAATAGACATATATGATCTGCTTTTACCAAACCCGTAAAGAATATACTGTGCAGATCTAAGCTGCTAACTATTCTATGTTTTTAAAATACAGTACGTCCTACTCTTCTTGAATTTAATGTGTATTCAACTATCCGTGATTATTGTATCGAGAGGCATAATTTGATTGCATATAGCAGAACCGTGTGGATACAGAGAGATGGTGTGTAAATAATGAAATACTCTTTTATTAAAAGCATGTATAGCAAAAGTTCTTGCAAACACAAATATTTGTTTGATCGATAGGTAAAACATAGGTAATGGACACATGTGTTATGAACGGTGTAATTAAGGTATTAGTATAACGCAAGGATATAAACTTCCTGTTAAGGATAAAATTAATAAATATCTGTGTGATTGAGGTGAATCACAAAGTACATGAATAGTACACTTTTCAAGCCTGTTTGGGACCGACTAAAATGTGTTATGATTACGAAATGCAGCTGATGTGTGAGAACGAGCAAAGGAATCGTTTTATGTTTTATTGCTTGGTCGAATGCGAAAATATAGACTGATTAGACAATTGGTCACACAGCAAATCTGATAAGAGCATTTTTGATCGCAAGGATGAAGATGTATTCCTAAGTGTTATTTTTCATAGTTGCTGCTGCGTTATGACCATATTTGCATCTGAACAAGATGTAGAGAATGAGTATAATCAGGTTATCACCAGATCCAAAGAAAAATAAATAGAAATAATTTACGGTGCATTTATATACGTGACATCCCATTATAGCATGGTTATGAGTTATTGCTCTCGAGTATACTAGTGCTCTAGCAATGATGGCAATATGATCCGAAATATTCCAATATATTGGGCCTGCTCACTCCATTGGACTGATACATGCTATTTCCGCTATATCCGTTGGTAGACATCGATTCATCTTTGTCCAAGGCAAGTATCAAGATGCTAAATATAAGGAACAAGGATTCGGCAACTGCTGTCAGAATGAATAGACCAATATCTGTCGTCGCAGTATGAAGAGCAAAGGATGCTACCACATCTGCTGTTGTTTTGGGTCGGAGATTGGGTGTTTGTTTAGTGTTTGAGCCAGAAATAATGCTTTTGCCATATTCCACCACATCCAAATGAACTTTTGGTTTTAAGATATCCTTATAATCACTATCAAACACCATGGTATTATCTATTTGTTCTTCTTTCCCAGATACTCTGGATTCTTTGTTTTCGGCGTTATAACCTCCTTTCATATGCTTTTTTAGACTGATTTTTCCCGTATTTTCACGAGATCGTGTCACCAATCTATTTCTGTCCTTCAATATTTTATTTACATCCTTCATTTTTTCTTTATAAGGCATTTTATCTTTCAGCTGCGCAATTATCGACTTTTGTTTTATACCAGTCTTGTTTTCTATCTTTTTGTGCCCATTAACATCATCTGGTATCTCTTTCGTTCGCTTGAACGTTGATACATTGTTAAAAACATCATCTTTCTTCTGTTTCATGGATATTTCCTGATCAATAACCGTATCAAAGTTCAAAGGTTTCTTTTTAAGCTTAAAACAGACCTTTCTACAGAACTGGTTGATCATCAGGTATTTCTTAGGTTGCATCTCATCGTAGCTGTGGCTGTTAGCTTTCATCAAGTTGCTTGCATACACCTTACAGCCCAGAAATATGCCCAAACCGTGTTTTAAACAAAGAAGCGCGGCTAACATTACAAAATTCCTTTTATCATAATTTATATCTTGTGTATCATTTAAGTCAAAAGCTAAAACTTAGCCTCTTGATTGACAAAGCAATGCACAGAAATGATCAGAATGTTTGGTTGTGATCAAGCGCTTTCATTGGTTGCTACCATGAACGACACATTACGGGCATTTTGCCCGTTCTGAACGGTATAATAGCAGTGCTACGGTGTTTGAAGCGACCAGGCGTAATAATATGTCTGAAAGTGCACGACTGTGTTGTGAAATGATAAGATCCTCGTTTAAAACTACCGGTTGTTCAGGTTTATTTTGCGCAACGAGCGAAGTGGAAAACGGCATTTATCGTGTGGACACATGCTATATGTACACCATAACACAGATACGAACAATTAATATGCTGTCAAACAACTCTATGGATGATCAGAACGATTTATGGCTTAGTGTACTTATGGACAGGTTCATGTCCGGTTGTCTTACTAAAAAAGTTTATTTATCATCTCAAACAGCGGTATCATCCAAACAAATCTTTCTGATTCGCTTGAACCAACCATGCCACGGGCTAGTTCATTGCATTTTCCGTTAGGTCACGACTTTGCCGATCAATAATCTATACTACGAGTGGTTGTAGACATGCTGAACGTTTTGATATCTTATTATTGACCTGAACATTCTGATAGGTCCATGTTCCCGCTATATTTGATATCAAGTTGGACACCTCAAGGTATGATGAGGTTGTTACGTGGTGTTCAGCGATGCATCATAGTATTGTTCGATTGTATGGTTTGTAAAAGGATCATTTGAAGATTTTGCAAAGAAATCTGCTGAGCATGGGCGCAATAAGCAGGCGAATATCGCAGAGAGAAGTCTTACGGGTGCAAATTTTATGAAATATTGCCAATGCGAGTTTACAACACTGTCTTAATGTGGCTCCAAAACAGAAAATGTCTTCATATCTCTGCGATGTAGAAAGCGTAACTCACAACAGCTCGGCAGCAACGCTTGTACTTTTTATTAATATTGAATTTGTTGCTGCTCTGATCATACCGCTTACCACACCAATTTGTAAATACCCTAGCGGATTATCACCAACCGCATTTTCTACGATTGATTTGTACCAAAACATTGATGTACCGTATAAATTCATAAATACGCCGCATCAAAAGAGTATTTTACGTGATATTAAAATAGTGGTTGTTGAGCGCAGTATAAATATAAATGGTTCTCCTGTGTTGATCCACAGTTCATACACTTTTACCGAGTATGAAACGGTTAATAAAGCTGTTTATACCACACATCTCTTAGTGTTAGCACGGCGGGAGAAATATAGATATTATGAACTGATGTGGTTTACACGGAATATTGCATTTTAACGTGGCAAAGACACGGAAAAGGCGTGTTCGAACAAATCTATCTTTAACAGTATATCTCGTACACATTATTGATATTGCTCTCAACCGGACAGTACGGGCACTTAAAGCATCCATTAGCGCAATTGAGCCGTTTCACTGCTTCCATAGAAATTACGTGTCTGCACTCCAGCAGGATGGGCGGGTTGCTCTCATCACACACTACTTTAAGCACTGGACATACCACATACGAATGAAAAATATACTTTTTTGGCAGTGCTATGTCGATGGGCAGCTCTTTAGAACAGGTAACTTCGAGCATCGCATTTATCTCAGGTGTATTGAGAGTTTGAAAGCTTTTCATTCCTATTTCGTAGATGATTGGAAGTGTTGAGAAGGTAGGAATGCTGAACATATCAGTGCACAGTTTAGGTATGAGTGCCTTTGCGCTCTCGACGTATTCCTGGTGTGTGTCAGTCTGCTGGGTAAGCAACATCTTCGCAAGTTTGAGTACTTCGGTTTTTTTATGATCTTGGAAGTTTGACTGGATATAGGAGAGCGCCTTGTTGTTAGTGCGCACCATTTCTATGAATTTCAGGCTTTTTACGTTGAATATAAACTGTGTGACGGTGTCAGACCTATCTTTTCCGCCAACAATTTCCAATATTTCGTCATATTTTTCTTCGTCTACGAGTGTTACCAGTTTGTCCCTCATCCCGAACATCTTCCAGTACTCCACGGTGTATCCACCTGCTCTTTTCATGAACTCCTTTGCCTTGTGCACATCAATGCGCAGCAGGTAATCGAGTATGAGCGTATCAACCACGTTTTTAGTGTCTATTTTGGTGTTCTCCAAGATTTTGAACGTTTGGTTTTCGTTGCAACACGTGCTTTTGATGTGGTTGTGGTACTTTAGCCAGAGCGCCACAAGCTCATCTTTGCGGTCTACGTCGTTCAGATCAGCAATTATTTGGTCGATCAGGAAGAATGTGCGCCTTTCGATGTCCTTTAGGTTCATTTGTTTACTTTTTTTCCGTTTATTTTATGATTGAATCGTAAACAGGGAAAGAAGCGGTAAAGGATGTGGGAGGTAGCACGCTACGGTAGAAAGGACTGCCGATAATTACAGGAATGAAATGGTGAGGTGGGTATTAATGGCAAATAAACTATAAAAAGGGGACATGCGGCCTCGAGTAGCGATCAGGAACAGAGAAAAGGATACTACAGTGAATAAATTCATTTTTTATTGAAAACACATTTATTGAAAATAGGTTCATGGTTGTTCTTGCATGAGATGCATTTGGCAGCGTAGACGTTAAGGTGCGATTATGGGAACTATCTCTGTTTGTAAAACAGAACAGATATTTGGTTTTATATTCAATTTAACTTGTTATTTTTAGAGCTGGCGTTTTACTTCGTTACAGTTCGCTTTTTATCTTGCACATCGTACAAATAAAATGAAGAATTAA